AATCGAATAAAATTAGGTCTCGCGGAATTTTGCGGAATGGGTCCGGAAATTGGGGACTGGATTTGGGGGTTTTTTAAATTGGGGAATGGCGGCGAACGGTGAGTGGAGGTGGCGGGAAACGAAGGCGCCACGTGGCGTCGAAGGAATTTGAAGGTGGTGTGGGAATGCCACGTGGGAGAATGGAGGCTCCAGGTGGCCTCTTGTTCGTTGTTGATGCACTTTCGGAGAACTTGAATTTGTACACGTGTCTTCAAAGAACTACCTCTTTCTCCACTAGAGAGAGGCCAGGCACCGTGGTATTAAATTGTTTTCGACATGTCGATAAGTCCATATTTCAGTTTTGCATCCACATTTCTATAATATTGAAAATACTCATAAGAAAAATATGACCACATAAAATTAATTTTTTTTATAGTTTTTTACTTATTTTAAAAATATGAAAGGTTTATTTGTTCATTTAAATATTCATTATGATTTTTTACTATAATTTCAAAAAAATTAACATCTAAATTCATATTTTTACTTATGTTTTAGCATCAACATTTAATTTTTTTTTCATGTAACTTTTATAAAAGTTTAAAAAGTTTTTATTCTTAATTTTAAATACTTTTTGTCCATGTAATTTAACATTATTCATTTTATTATTGTACTTTCAAAAACGTAGATTTTGATATTTACATTTTCAACAACTTATTAATTTTTGTCATTCTACTTTTAAAAAGTCTGCTTTAATTTTCGTACTTTAAAAAGACATTATTTTGGTCTCTATTTATAAAATTATAAATGATATTTATACACAATAAACTATTTAATATATATTTATGTTTGCATTTCAAAAAACCTACAAGTGAAGTATCATACTAAAATATTGATTGAAATAAATATGATAAAAATGAAAAAATAGGAAATGACATCATGGTCATCCTTTAAAAGTATATTCAAAAAGAGTAGAGACAACAATTCAAAATATACCGATGACATTTTGAGATTAGAATAACTAAATTTAAATCAAAACTATAAATATAGGGACTAAAATCAAAATAATATTTAAAACCATATTAACTTCAGTAAATTTCTTTCATTAATTTATTTTTGCATAATAAAATAATATATATATTTTTTTTTTTGAGAAACACGCTTCATTAAACAAAGTCAAGGAAAATCAGAAAGTCGCAATACATACTGGATGTTCTGATGCAGAGCCTCACCCGTAAGGAAATGAGCCGGTTTGTTACCCTCTCTTCCGACGTGTATACACCGCAAAATAATTTAATTGATTAAAGTATCTCTTAAAAAAAATATTATTAAAGTATTGTACATTTATTTAAACGAAAATTATGCTGAATGTGAGCGACATATTTCATTACTGTAAACGGATAATAATTCAGTGACGTAATACAAGAGTGTCTTCTTGGATGAGGGGCATGTTAGTAATTTCAATATGGATGGCAAATTATACTTCAAAAAAAAAAAAAAAAATTGGCAGGTATGTATGTCTTTTTTTATCATGCTAGTCTACCAAATATGTGTTGTAAATTGTCAAATCTAACGATATTAACAACATTAATCTATCATAAAAACGAGTATAATTCAATAGATTTGGTATATATCATCGAGATTGTGAATTCGATCCCTCATGACAGGTTATACTAAACAAAAACAACATTAATCTATCGTAATTGTAGCTGTACTTCAAGGTAAATTTAAATTCTTTACAAGAAAGAAAGATAAATTTAAATTAGAAGTTTAAAGAATTTAGACAAATTTATTAAATTGTAATAGTTGTTTTTTAATGTTACTCTTCTCTTTCTTATTTGTTTTTCATTTAAAATTTTGAGGTTTCATAAATTGTATATGGCGTACTAAACTTAATTATTGTTTTAGAAGATTAATGACAGTGTCTTCGATATTAAATTTTCATCGACATGTGGATATTTTTATTTGTACGTAGTTTAGACATTAATATTAAAGGTGAATCGACATTTTCATCTAATATCACAAAAATTGACAAAATATAAAAAAATGCAACAAAATATCACCAATGTAAATATAGTGATGATTTTAAACTTACGTAAAAATAGTAGAATTATTATTTGTTAATTTAAATATTTTTTTTACAATTTCGTTTTTACAATTATTCTAGAAATATTTCTTGAAATCAATATTTTATGGATATTTCTATCGAGATTCATAAAATTGGGATCTCAACCTTTTATTCGACATTTTTATCAACATGTATATCTAAAATTTTGATTTAGGTGGTTTGATCGACGGCATGAATTTAGGCTTTAGGCCCAAATGTTAACAAAGGAATAATCCAAAAAAGTAATTGCAAAAAGGGATTAGAGCACTACTACTCTACGGAGGTTCAAATTTACATAAACAAATTCATATTTAAGATTTTACATTTTTGCCTTAATGAGAGTCCGTATTAGATGAAACCCATGTATAATTTTACAAATTCGTGTCATTTTTTCTTCCTTTTCAAGCTTACATTTGCTATAATAATTATTTTAAAGTGAGATTAATTAAATTTTTATCCTTAAACTTTCTTAGATGAGTTAATACTTTCAACTTTCAATCTTGTTAACCTTCGACACAAATATATAAGTGTATAACAATTTTTATCAAGGTTCGAAAATATTCGCCTTCTAATTTTCAAAAAAGAAAAAAAGTCTAAATTTTTTTATTAATTTAAATAAAAATTAAAACCAAAGAACTCAAACTCACAATATCATATACCAGGCAAACAATGCACACGGACATCACAATTTGTTTTAGACAATTACATAAATATATGGTAGATAGTTTAAAATTTTACAAAATAGTATAATCCAAATTAAAGTCAAACTCAATTATAAGGTAAAACACATGAAGAAAAATTTTGTGATATCTACATTTATATCTTTACTATATATAAAATTGGCTACAGGAATAAACTTTTTCTCCTTGTTTTGCCCTCTTAATTTAAACATTTTTCATAGTTATATTGGAAACAATTTTGTCGTTCAAATATTAAAATTTCTCTCTCATCCTCTCATCATCTTTCTCCCACGCCACTTCCTCCACTTTTTTTTTATTATTATTATTTCAAAATACTTTATCTCTATCTTTATAAATTCCATTTTTTTCAATTAATTTTCTCTCTCTTAATCCTGTGAAAATGTTATAATATAAAGAGTTAGAATATATATAGCTTTGTCTTTTTGTTTCTATGAATTAATTTAAAAAATTATGACTTAATTTTAACTATAATTAATAAAGAATTTCAAAAGTTTTGTAGCTTTTTATCTTCTACAACTATATAAGAGCGTTTTCTTAATTACTCTTTCTACCATTTGTTTCTCATCAAAACTTGAGCATTCTTTATCATTCAGTATGTTTTTCTCCCTTAGTCAATATCGTGTGTTTTCTTATATTAATAGTTAGATTATTTGATCTAACGTTTAACTTTTATCTTTTCTTTCCATGTAATGTTTATTGTAATTTAAAAGAATATTTGATTACTTACCATATATAAGGTAATTTGTTCAAAAAGCTAACAATATAACATACTTGCGTTTTGGAAAAAAAAATGATGAAAAATCATAAATACGTGTTTTTTTAAGGAAAAAAATTCAAGTAATCCAAGAATACAGGTTAAGTTGTTTATTCTTGCTTGTCGTATTTTACTTATGGGAAATTTTCAAGTAACCAACACTTCTCAAATTATTTTTATTCATACATCAACCAGATCAACAGGTGACTAGAATCATTGAGACGTCGATTTGTGAGATAAACATGGAAAATACAAAATAAAAAAATTATGAGGTAAATAAGAGCCTAATTATATTAAAAATGTTTAACTATTTAATTAACTTTTATATTTTTATACTTTAAAATAAAACCATGAAATTCTACGTGCACGTCATGTGTTTCATACTTTTTTTTAGTACAACTTGTGGGTTAGGGGATCGAACTCACAACCTATTGATTGGAAATATATGTCAATTCTTTTTCCCTCACTGTTTGTAATAATAGTTAACACAATTGATTATTGTTACCATAGTGGCCATTTTTCCACCATTGAAAAGTGAGCCATTTGGAACTTTTTAATCATAGCACACAAATTGATTCCTTTGGTTCTATGGTGTGTTTATACTTTTAAATATAGTTGCATAAATTTGTACCTTGATTATTCCCATTAATTTAATTTAAAACTAAGTTTTTTTAGTTCAATGGGGTGAGGATGAAACCTCCGACCTTTTAATTGAAGATATAATCTTTTAATCTCGTTGTAAGATGTTGTAATAAATAATGATGTAATTGTAAGATCCTCCTTCTCCTTCGGAAGCTTAAGAATTCGTGTCGAGTAAGATTAAAAAATGAGGATACTACGAAGGATCCGAAATAGCGACAAGTTAATTAAAAAGTAACTTTTACTCAGATTCGCTAAAGCTCAAGTTCTCAAATTTACACTTCACATGTTAATAACTGTATCTATTTAATTTTTACACTTTCTTAAACTTTCAAAATTTTTTATTATTTTCTTAATTAGATTTTGAGTTATATTTATTTTTAATTCCCATCGTTAACACTCATTCACTTATACATAGACATTTTTTTGATGTTGCTATTCCATCCATTTCATAAATTAAATAGCTACCAAATATTTTAGGATCATATTCTACTTGGTTTAACAATGGCTACCTAATATCTTTAAATTAAAAAAAAAAACAATAGCTACCTAATACTAAAATACTAAAATATATATAATTATTTATCCTTACATATAAAATAATTTTTCGACTTGATTAATTCAACATGAATCTTTAGCTTAAAAGAAAATATATTAATTAATCACAAATACTATCTTAGTCATTAATTTATTAAACAAGGCTCACATATATCAATAAAATACTCTCATGAACTTTCACAAGAGCCAAAAAGCATAAAAATGGAGGACATTGTTCCTAATTTCCTTTTCATGCTCATTTCCCATTGGAAAATCTTTTCACCAAACACAAAACAAAAAAGGCAAAAATTAAGATGATGATGTTGAGCGGCGACCTTCCGATTTCATCTTTGAAGGCTTAATCCAAGAACTGGAAAGTGGTCCAGCGATGCCATGATCATATAATCAAATCCAGAATACAGACGAACACCAATTGGTTGGTTCAATTTAGATTCTAAGTTAAGTTAATGGCGGAGTAGTGCTTTAAATCGCCATTGTTAATGTTCTCTCTTTCTATTGGCGTGGAGTTTTGTTTTGTTTGGTGCTTCGCTGTGGCTGTCTTTTCAAATATATTGCTCTCTCTCTCTCTCTCTCTCTCGGGGAGTCGGCCGATGCATGGCGGCTGCCGGCAGGTAATTCGCATTTATTGGCCGTTTTACGTCAGAGCCAGTACGGCGGCGCCACCGTGCGAGTTGAGAAGCTGTTTTCTGTCCTTGTTTGAGACGTGGAATTGTCGGCTCGGCTGTTCCATCGAGTGTTAATGGAGCAGAGAGGGAAATCGACTGCTGCAGGGACGAGCTTGTTGAACTCTGCTATGCCGTCTCGCGGCGGGAGGGTTTCTTTGAGAGCTATGGAGTCGCCGTCGCCATCGCCGAAGCCGCTGGTTTCTGCGTCTGCCGTTCAATCGACGCCTCAATCTGTTGTTAAGAAGCAAAGTTCGAGAGTTAGCAGATCTCTGGCGCTGAATGCTCCGAAGAAGGGGAGGGATGGTGAGAATGTTGCAGTCTCGGCTCGAACGGTCAACCGCGGCGGTCTCAAGCAAGTTTCGCAGCGTCGTTCTTCTGGTACTGGTTCGTGTTCGAAGGTTGGTGACTGTACTGAAGCGAAGAGTGAATTGCAGGAGAAGCTTTGTTTCGCTGAGGATTTGATTAAAGATTTGCGGTCTCAATTGCTGATTCTGAAGGAGGAGTTGCAGAAGTCTCAGAGCTTGAACCTGGAACTTCAATCGCAGAACGATTTGCTCGTCCGTGACCTAGCCGCCGCGGAAACAAAGTTAGCAAACGCTAGTAATAACGACCAGGTGTTGTTTCTTTCTAAATTACCTTGCTATTTCGGTTTCAAATTTTAATCAAATTTCAAAATCATTTTCAATTCTCTGTTTGTGGTTATAGAAGGCCAAGAACACTCAGAAACTCGAAAATGGAAAGTTGCAGGCCCAACCATCGAGTTCGTGTCAGAATGTTAGGGATTTGGGGTGCAAGGCCCCGCCAACGCGGGCGGCACCGCCGCCACCGCCTCCGCCTCTTCCCCTCCAATCCTTGCCCAGAGCAGTGACCACTCAGAAATCTCCAGACCTCATACGCCTCTTTCACTCGTTAAGAAAGAAAGAGGGGAAAAGAGATCCTCCATTGTTGGGGAAACCGGCTGTGATTAATGCGCATAATAGCATTGTTGGGGAAATTCAGAATCGTTCTTCGCATCTTTTAGCGGTAAGGCTATGATTTTGGTTGATTTGATTGAACTGAATCCAACCCTATATTGAAAAGTTAAGACATAGCTGACACTATCCATCTTCAATTTCCAGATAAGAGCAGACATTGAAACTAAAGGAGAGTTCATCAATGGCCTCATTGACAAGGTGCTTGTTGCAGCTTATACGGACATAGAGGACGTCCTCAAGTTTGTCGATTGGCTTGATTCCCAACTCTCATCATTGGTAAATCTTTACTTGTCACTTTTTCTCTGTTAGTTTTATTTTTCCTTTTTGTGTGTGCATCTATGGAAAGATCTAGTTTTAAGACAAAGTACTCTAGGTATTGGTGGGCCATACCATGTCATACGATGTAGAAATTTTCTGGTTATTTTTCATTAATTTGGTTTGGTTTATAAGAAGAAGAGCAGCATTCTGATCAACAATTCAACATAATGATTTGTTCTCAGCTAGTGCCTTCCTATAATGTATGCCTGGCAAATGCTGGTTTTATTGTCTTCCTTTAGACTGTCCTAAGATGGCCCCCTTCTGACTTTTAAGTGTATCATGGGGGCTGGATTGTCTCAACAGTCCTTTTTTTTTTCTTTTGACCAAGGCAGTTGAGAGTGAGGGAACCCAAATCCTTATGATGGATTTTTTATACCTACTAGTCTTTGTCAGTCGGGTTGTTCCTGGAGGATCTCTTTCGAAATTCACACTTATCGGTCCTTAGTCACTCAGCTTCTAAACTGAAGGTTCTAATAATTGTAAAATGGTCGAATGCTGCAAAAAGCTACCACCTTGGGACCCTCAATCCGTCCTGAAAATAAATTGTGTTTTCTAGGGTGAACTTTATCTTCTTTAGGCTGTGTTGACATGTTAGCCAATGGAATTGATATTTTGATGTTTAGAACTTGAAAATCTACTCTGCACCCAAATTATAGAACCTGTTGATTTGAGGATGAGGTGGCTATGACTTTTTATTTGTTCATTTTCGGGGTAAAGTCCATGGTGATGTTGACTGGTCAACTGTACAATTTTGTGCATTTTGCTTGACACTCTGGATGATTATCCAAATTTGTCATTTGGTGAACTTCACTGTGATGAACCTCTACTTACATTAGAGATATGTTATCTTATCTCCACGCTCAACCATGTATCACTGGTAATGGTTGTTGATGTTTTGGAATATGCTTTGAATTTCTCTTTGGACCTGATTTCTAGAAACAGAAGAAAGCATGTTAATGCACGCAAACTGGGATTTAATGATAATTCTAACAGTTTGATTCTGAATAATGTCTTTTGAGCTTATAATGAAGAAAAACCCAAAATGACGGTCATTTAGGTAAATTAACTATTGAAGCCACCCTGCTAACGCTGACTTGAGTTAGACTTCATGTTGCTCTTTATGATAGAAGTGGAACTATATTTGAGTTAGTTTTTGAGTTCAACACGAGGTAGAGATCTGAACCTTTAATCTTTAGAGAAGTGATGCACGTATTAAGGGATAGATAATAATTTGTTGCAAGGATTTACATCCATTTCTTCTTCAAAAGGGAAAAAAAGATAGATAATAATGAATTACTTCTGAAAAATGTGAAAATAAGGATGGCGAGGAAGAGTTTAAATGTTGTGATTTATGGATAATCATTGGCTTGCTCCTCCCAAATTCTTATTTACTATTGGATGTTAAAATTTTATCTGCAGGCTGATGAACGGGCTGTGCTAAAGCATTTCAAGTGGCCTGAGAAGAAAGCCGATGCCATGCGAGAAGCGGCCATCGAGTACCGTGCACTTAAACTGTTGGAAAATGAGATCTCTCTGTACAAGGATGACACTTCTACTCCATGTGAGGCAGCATTGAAGAAGATGGCGAGCTTGTTAGACAAGTTAGAACTCCAACCATATCTGATACCTTTCATTATCCAAATCATATTTACTCAAAACCGTTGATTTTTCCTTCTTTCATGAAAGGTCGGAGCGAGGTATACAGCGGTTAATCGGGCTTCGAAATACAGTCATGCATTCTTATCAGGAACTAAAACTACCAACAAATTGGATGCTCGATTCCGGAATCACGAGCAAGGTACGATCATATACCTTAAACTAAATTTCTTTCAACTAGGCAAACATGGAATCTTCCGTCAAATTGCACACCGAAATTTACCAGACATACAATTTTCGTGGAGCGCAGATAAAGCAAGCTTCTATTAATCTAGCCAAGATGTACATGAAAAGGGTGAAAATAGAGCTCGATTCAATTCGTAGTTCTGATAAAGAATCCAACCAGGAATCTCTTCTACTTCAGGGCGTTCATTTTGCTTACAGAACTCACCAGGTAAGAAGCACTCAACTTTCATAAAATTTGCCATTTAAGAATAAATAGTGATTCTGATGCAAATGGCTTCTGGTTGGGCAGTTTGCTGGAGGTCTTGATTCAGAAACACTGTGTGCTTTTGAGGAAATAAAACAATGGGTTCCAAAACAAGGATGGATTGTTGGCATACCATCATCATAATCAAGTAACAATAATTCTGCCTGTTTAAGTTCTTATTTTTGTAAAATATTGACTGTGTATATTTTATTGAAAGTGGGATGGGGGTAGCAAAATAGGGTAGATGTTCATTACTAATTGGTTTATGTTAGTGAAGAGGTCTTCTCTTAGAGTTATTTGGTTGCTTTGTAGTAGGGCTTAAGTAGAGATGGTGTTTTAACTTTCAAATGGTGGTTTTTAAATTTTTTTTCAAAATAGAATTAGCTTCATTTACTTGTTATAGTTTATAAAAGAAAATATTTAATGTGTAACAATATCTTAGATTCTATTTGTCTTAAATTTTGCAAGTTTAAAAAGACATTGTTCTCTATATCTTCATTGAATTGACAATTTTGTTTCTAATATTAGTATATAACAATCTGGTTCTTATAGCCTAAAATTTATTATGTCAAAGTCCTTTTGAAAAGTGTAGCATGTGTGTACGTACGTATGTGTATGTGTATACATATTACATATTTATTACAACAAGTGTGCATGAGAATATGAACTTTTTAGTTGAGTTAGGTATCTTAACCAGATGAGCTAATCTCATGTTAGCTTGATAAAAAATAAAGGTTAAACACTTTTGGTTCCTATACTTTTGCTGGAGTAACAATTTAGTTCCTAAACTTTAGTTTGTAACGATTTAGTCTCTGCACTTTCAAATTGGTAATAATTTAGTCATTGAACTTTAATATGTAACAATTTAATCATTGTAATTTAAAGTTGGTAACAATATATATATAGATTGATAAATTAAAGAGGGGCCAAATATGTTTATAAATTAGAAAGATTAAATTATTGTATGATAAAATTTGATACTTAATTTTAATAAAATTTTCTACGATAAGGACTAAATTGTTATAAATTTTAAACTCAAGATTAAATTGTTACAAGTTAAAGTTCAGAGATTAAATTGTTATTTTAGTGAAAGTATAGGAACTAAATCGTTATAAATTAAAGTTCATGGACTAAATTGTTATTTTAGTGAAAGTATAGAGACCAAATGTATTTTTAACCATTTAAATGATAAGAATTATATCGTTACATATTAATGATCAATACTTCATCTTAATTGGGAAGTTCGTTCTGATCTTGGATGCAGTATACTGGAATCCTGAAGCACCACCACGAACGTCAAAATTCAAAATTGTTGCATAGTAAACTTTAGGAACTAAAGTGTTCAAATTTTAAATTATAAAGATTAAATTGTTACATACTCGATTATTAATTCAATCAAGGTGCCAAACCATATATATTTCTTTTATATAAAACAATTTACAAAAACATGATAAGGATAAATTAACGGTAAAGAATAAATTAGCTAGCCAGCAAAGGGATTAATTAAAATAGAATACTTAAAATTTGGGGATCAAACTAAAATAAGTATAAAAAATAAATACTCATAAAAAAGTATTTATTTCACCTTCTTATCCCTTTCTAAAACAAAAATAAAGTAAATTTCTAGATAACTACCACTATATTGTTCCTCTATTAGCTTTTTGATTTCCTTCATTTTAATCCATCAATTTTTAAAATTTATATTTTAATTTTTTAACTTTAAAAAAATAAACGTTTTGATTTTTTAATTTTTCAACAACTAAAATAGATTTTTAAAAAACATAATAAATAAACTTCAAAAATCAGAAAACAAAATAGAATTTAAACCATGAACCAACTTATGTTTAATATTTTCTAGATAAAATAAACTAAATTAGTTCTTGAGAGAAAAAAAAATATTTTTTCAAGACTCCACCTTTTTCATATTGATAATGCCATAATGATATGATAACATTTACGACCACGTTTAAAAAAAGTTTGACATTTTTTTTTCCGGAATTTTATTTTATTTTATTTTTTAAACTTTTTTGCCTTTTCAGAAATAACTAGTGTAGCTTATATACTTATATTTTATTTGTACGGGTGGCCAAAGAAACCAAAAACCACAAAGCTGATACACATCAGCATCCAACGTGTACCCACGTGTATTACCACCAGCCATGCGATCTTTATAATAATTATCCAACGGCAGATATTAACGCGGCGCTCGCGCGGGAACGCAGAAAGCTCGTGGTCCACGTGCGTTGCCACGAGGTCCACCCTATCGAATCAACAGCCGCCACGTCATCCAGGCTCGATCTTCCTTTGACAGCGAACGCCGTCCGTTAGGTTCCAAAAACGGATGCGAC